AATAAAAAAATACAAAATACAGCAGTTACAAAATGTATAATGCTAATTAAGATAGACAAAGGATTTCTTATAACAGTTTAACCTACACTTTGGGACACTGTATCTCCTACCTGAGTATATATTGTGTATAGTGCATGTATAGTGTATATTAAGCATCATTCACCTATGAAAACACAACTGTATACTAATGTAAATGGGTAACATCAGTATGCAATCCCAAATACTATACTTTTTGTGCTTTATAATTTAAAAAGTTCTTTGAAAAGGTGAAAACTGCAACTTTATTTAAACGCCACTTAGTTTGGCATTTTGTCATCTAATGCAATGCCTTTCATACATATTTATAGATCCTTCAAGTGTCCAGATATTTTCAGAAGACTGCTATGCATACATATAGATCCAGTGAGAGCCAGACTGCGAACAGCATACGCTAAAGCATGTTTACTGCAGGTCACACTGACATGAAACTTTCAGATAAGACTGTAGGTTGTTGAATTTATTCCTTTTTTTTTTTTGCTATCAGATAACTGCGAGTTTGCACATGGTGTTTCTCACTTCTGTTTGTGTTTCCTGTTTGAGATTTGCTGCCTTGTCTTTTCAGATCTGATATTGAGCTCTAAGCTAAAACCACGCTGTATATAATTTATAGGGGCATAAAACTTCACAGCAAAAAGTTATGCTTGTAAACACAGAGAAGTCTGAAACATCAATCTGTACATCTTCACATTCGACTACACACAAAGAATTGAAAGTGTTGCGAAAGATAGAGGAGGTCATCTTGTTATCACTCAATGTACACATGCACACACACATATCTTTGCGCGCACACATTTATGAGCAGAGATGAATGACTCCATGCACAGGCCATTCCTTTTCTACCGTGCCGGTGACGTTGACAAACGGCCCGGCAGTCTGAATTAAATATGACAGTCCTGCTGCTTCCAGCGGGACTCTGCCTGTTGGATGCTACATGCCAGCATAACCGCCTAGACACTGCCAGAGCCTTACCTTGACATACGCACAAACACGTCCAATCACACAGCAAACGTATTTGATTTTCTAAAGAAAGCATGTGGAGTGAAACTTGAAGCTACAACAAATGAAGCTACAACCAGCGGTCTACCACTTCTTTGGTACGGTGTGAGGTGTCTGCCTGAAGGCGATTAAAATGCATAATCATTTAATAGCAGAAAAAGGTCTAGTCTTCTCAAACGGACCCCCTTGTGTGCCTGCTGACATTCCAGAGGTCTCTGCGGAGCTGGTTCATTATTCTCGATGTGTGTTTGCTGACATTGTGGAGGCATTGCTGGTCCAGTTCATTACTCTCTGGGTATTTACTGACATTGGGGAGCCTTGGTGAGATGCATTCATTATTTCGCACTAGGAACAGTACGCACAGGTCGGCTTGAAGACCGGAAACACACTTCTAGCGACATGCTCACATTCTGACTGAGGTGAAGGGGTTCATAGTGAACAGCTGAACATGTGTTTGGCTTTTGTTGCTTACATTTTGTGTAAGCAGGTGAATACTAACATGTGTAAAAATGCTAATTTCTCCACATGGATTTACATACAAAACACTCCAGTTTACCAGTGTTGGATTCAACCCAGTCTCATTCTGAAAACGTACCTCTATTTACATTTCTGGAGAGTGCATATCCCAGGAGCTACGCTTTTTTGCTGTTTTTGTTTTCCTGTATCCACCAGAGGCCGCTGTGTACGATTTTTAAGATCTTAAATTTCTCTCGTGAGTGCCATTCGCACCTGCTGTTCTCACGTAAATCCATCAGAGGTCGCTGTTAACTGACTGATGGACTGACCCACCCTCCTTCTTCTCTAAACAAAAACAATTGTAATGACTGAAAAATAACGGCGTCAAACCTCCCTCTAGCGTTCCTTTTAAAAATGAAACGTAGCTAGAAGTAGCTCTGACTACATAATTTGCGCTCGCCACAAACGTTTATAGGGCTGTTTTCAGAATGAGCCTATGTTGGTTGGATAGCATTTGAAAGCACAGAAATGTTTCAGAGCACATAGACTTAAAGTAAAGTAAGTAAAAAAGTAATTAAAAAAATTCTGCCATCATTTATCTGCTCTTCATACAATAAGATCAAGTAGCTTGTCAAAAATTCAAAAGCACAATTTATGTGAAATCATTTAATGACTACTTTATTGTCTTTTTTATATCTTCTTGCTAAACCGTTTATAGTGGATGGACAGAAAATGTCTTATTTTGTGATTCAAAGTGTAATGGTTTAGGAATTTTAATAGACGTAGCATGAGTTGTGCTTTTAAATCTATACTTTTTTATTATTTTATCCTGTTTGTTTAAAGTGAAAAAGTAATCATTTATTTCTTCATTTTTATATGGGACATTCTACCAGAAACATACATTTTTACTTAGAAAAAAATGTGACAGGGCATGACTTAAACTTGAAAAATCATAAAACAAACATAAAATCATACAATTCGATGATAGAACGGATCCTTGATCACCTTCAGCTTCTCCATCCAATGATGTTACTACCGAGTCATAGCCTTAAACAAGTATTGCACACATTTCATGTTAAATTTAATGTAAATGTGACAGGGCTGACTTAAACATTTGGACAATTGTAAAATATTGTTTATTTGTAGAATTTAATTATAATCTGATGTTTTTAAATCAATTGATGTGAATCATAATAACTTAAATGAGCTTTTTCTAAAGTTTTTACTAAATAGCAGTTTTTAGCATAACAAAACTATTAAAGCTGTAGATTCAATTGGGTTGAGGACCAGGACAATGACAGAGTCTGTAAATTTGTAAAGTGCTTTTAATAAAGAATAAAATCTGAGAACCAAATGAATGACATGTTTCTTTACAAAGACACTCACAGAAATCAAGCATCCGTACATTTTTTAAATTTTTAGGATGAAATACTTTTTATTCACAGTATTCATGTTTTTATTTCAGGGACAGATAATGTACAATTCCGGTAGAATGTCCCATATTGTTTAAAATGTCTTCCTTACTTAACAGAGAGCAACTTAGTTTTAAAGTGAGTTCTGTATGCATTATACATTGTTACACCACTGACAAGACACGTGAGAACTGATCTCACATTTACTCGCCCAACATGTGTTCCAAACCTGTGTCACTTTCTTTCTTCGGTGTAACAAAGAATATACTATCAAAAGATTAATTCACCCAAAAATATTGTAATTTGTGTTGAACGAGGAATAGGGTATATGCGGAAATATGCATAAGGACTTTTAATTTGTCAGCAACTGGGTTAAGCGCATACGATGAATCGTATGCCATTACAAAATCTGTGAATTAAAGGTCTGTTTTCTTTCAAAATCAGCGATCTCCACTGGCTGAGTGATATACGATATAAAGTGGGTCTCAGATTGTACAAGAAACACAGCATTAAATTACATTTTTCCCTGTCATGTCTAAAATATGAACATTTATTTTACCCCAGGATATTCAATATCCTGGGTGATCCTGACCAGCGCGTGTGAGTAAAAGGCTTTTTTTTTGTCTCGTTTTACACTTGAGCAACTAAATGAATGACAAAGTCTATTAAACTGATTGTATTTTAATTACATTACAACATCTATGCGGAAAAAGGAACCGTATAAATGGAAAAAAGTCACATTAACTGTTCACCGGAAGTTTATCAGTATGGGAAGAAACACTAGCTCAGCATTTACCCTATTAAGATCAAAAGGGATTCGAATGAAATGAAAGTGAGTAGTTTGGGGGAACTAACACTTTAATGCTGAGTTCAGACTGCATGATTTTAGCCCCGATTTTGACTCGCCGACAGGTTTTGAGAAACCGCTGACAAATGCCTGTAATCACAGGCAAATCAGTGCTCATTCCGGTGAGTAACACAGTGAGAACAATCAAAGGCGCAATCTAAAAGAATCTGCGATGAGTCGCCGACAACCATCAGATACTTGGCATGCTAAATATATGAAGCTGTCAGTGATGTTCAAATCATGCTGGATGAAATGTGTTCTGATTGAAAACAACATCGGTGATCACCTACAGCCACTGAGAGAGCAGTATACACTAGTATGGGTCTCTGCAGACTATGGACGATAACAATTTTCAAGGTGTACCACGGTTTAGAAAAGTCAAGGTTTTAAAACCGCAATACCAATCCTAAGGTATGTGTAAGATTTTTTATTTACCTTTTTTAGGACAACAATGTCTTCAGCAGAAAAAATATCCAAAAGCTGCGATTTTAAATTATAAAGAAATCAGTGTCTTTTAAACTAATGAAGACAGCATAAGTCAGAAGTGAATGTTTACTGTTCCAAAATATTATAAATCTTTCAAAAAAATAAAATATTTTGATTTTTAAAGTGGAAAAAAAGTTTATGTTTTTTACCCAGACATTTAAAAAGAATATATTTTAGAGCAGTAATCACAATACTGTGATACCGTGACATTTTTATCCAAGGTTATCATACCGTCAGAATCTTATACTAGCCCATGCCTACTGCAGACCAGCGGGAGCTTAGGAAAAATTAAACGAGCCTATTTTCGGTCTATTTGGACCCAAGAAATGGAGGAAAAACTAGTGTAAATTTGGCAGGAGCACCATGTCTGTTTGATGTGTCATCTGAGCAATACCACAACCGGGGAAAAAATATATATATATATTTACGAGAAATTGCTAAATAAATACATGACTTCTTTCTCATTATGTAGTTCAAAACAAAATATATACTATCTGACCTCACGTTGTTTCCATGTCACTTCTTGCGTGTTTGGTTGTGAGACGTAGTTTGGGGACTGAGACAAAGTTGTCAGCGATTCTCTTATTGTAAAGTCATGCAGTGTGAAAACACAGCAGCAACGGAATGCTTCCCCACATAGTCATGCAGTGTGAAAACATCTGACGTGACTACTTTAAAAATCCTGCAGTCTGAACTCGGCATAAGATGTGATACGTTTTTAGAACAACATGATCAAGAACACAATAAATTTAGCAGAAACTCACCCTATTCTCCTCTTCTCTGAGGTCCGGCATGGTACTGATGCACAGGCTGATTACTGTTATGGCCACCATCAACACAGAAAAACAAGCAAACACCTTTCCAGGCACGCCTGACTGAGGGTTCTCCACCATGTCCCTCAGTTGGTTCATGAACTTGCGGTAACGTGTCTCCACAATAGGAGGGCGCAGCTGCAAATTACGTTGGCGACGTTCCTCCTCTCGCCGCTCGAGCTCGGCGACCTCCTCAAGGCGTGTGTACATCTTGCGCTTGCAGCAGCGCTCCATGTAAGTCATCTCTACACCCCAATAGTTGAGCTCCTCGTGCAGCGAGAGTGCACACATCTCTCGTAACAAACGCAGCTTTCCGGCTGCTAGGAAGTTGAGGATTACACGGAACGCGTTGGGGCTACGGTCGAAGAAAAATTCATGGCGTGCCTCATCGTAATCGTCGCAGACGCGAGCAATCTCTTCAGGGCTGCTGCAGGGTTTAAGACGTCCTAACCGTGTCAAGGGGAACTGCTCCAACGTACTCCAAGGGAAGGTGTATCGGTTGCCCCCCACATTGATGAGAGCCTGCAGGCCATGATCAACCAAATTAAGGTCTTCGGGTCGGCGAATAAACTGAGCCCGCTGGTAATACACTCCCTTGATGGTCTCGGTTTCTGGGATCTCGGTGAAGATGTGGTCCAAGCTGCTGTCATCACTGACCGAGAGGTTGCTGAAGTCATGATTGGCATTGCTGATGATTGGCATGATGGCATTGAAGAGGAAAGTTGATCAACGGGATGGGCGAAGCTTAGGTCGTCTCACCGTTAGCCTGAAACTTTGGTGCTGGGCACTGAGGTGTTTATTCGAAGGCTGATCCCATAGGATCTCATGCACAGTTCAGTGCACAGCCAAATAGCCCACATTTTTGGGCACTGTTGGAGACAAAGAGATGACAAAAGTCAAAGAGGTCAAACAGTTAAGTAAAATTATTAATATTTCAATAAAGACGGACACTACAGTTTGGCATGGTCTCTAGTGGCTGATATATTAGCCAGACAATCCCACAACTCTTAACAATGATTGAATAATTTTCTGTTGTCAAGGTGTTTCATTATAGTAGGGTGGGGGCTGGAGTGATAAACTATTTATTAATAGAAGCGTACTCCCATCGGAAGCGATGCTTGCTTTACTGTGTGGAAAGTTAATTGAGGGAAGTGTGTTGTGCAGCCCAGTGGCAGTGGCTTTATCAAGAACATTCTCTCCAGTACAGGCTGATGAGCAGAAAGTGAGGGAAGCAAGATTTTTCATAATCACACATAAGCAGGTGTTAAAATAGGGTGGAAATTAGGAAGGATGCGAACCAAGCAGAAAATGCATGATAATTACAAATGCGTTTAAACAATGGCACAATATTGGGCATACTTTTTTAAAACAATAGACAGCATGCAAGATGGGTCAAGGGTAACTTTTGTTGATTTTAGAAAGCCTATTTAAAAAGTCAATGAGGGATTTATTGACTTCAACAAATGTAAAAGATCACTGATCAACTTTAACTCAGAGGGGTCCCATAAAAACTTTCTAACAATTTTCATGTCTGTCATCTGATTGTATTGAGAATTTATTTTCCCACTGACTACCTTTCAAAAATGTTAAATCCAACTTTCAAATCCCAAATATTTCTGTAACACTGTGAAAGTTGACTAAAAGTCTGTATGACACACTTTGCAAGAACTGAGTTCAACTTATTTCTGACTTGTTATACATATAATAATAGACAAAAAATGAGTTTTAAAAAAGTATCTTATGCTTAGCAAGGCTGAATTATATGATCAAAATTACAATGTTATCAGTTACTAATGTTGCACAATTTGTGATTAGTTTGACTTCTAATATTTCTTTGATGAATAGAAAGTTATGTAGAAATTAAAACATGAAACAGAATACAGTATATGTCTTCAGTATAAATTTCAATAAATTAAATGTGTCTTTGAAAAACCATTTTATAAAGTTTTCAGATATAAATATGAAGCAGCACTGTTTTCAACATTTTTTTCTTGAGAAGCAAATCAGCATATTAGAATAATTTCTGAAGGCTTATATAACCTTGACAACTGCAGTAAAGGTGGCTAAAAATTCTGCTTAAAACTTTAAATTATATTCACATTTTAATCAGATATTATAAAATGAATTGACTTAACAATATAACTGATTTAGTGTATTTATAATTAAATAAATGCACCTCTGCTGAAACGAAGACTTCTTTACAAAACAACAACAACAAAAAAAGAAAAAGAAAAGAAAAAAAAGCCTAGACTATTGCCTCAAAACTTTTGACCGGTAGGTCTCTGTTGACATCTAAAATTATATCATAATTTGACATCTGAATGCAGCACAGAATAGCAGTTTTATATCGATTACTATTTAAAAGCACAATACGTAGCCTATCGTTCGTAAAACAGATGAGTAACATTAATCGAATCCATAAGACAAAACATTAGCCTATACTGTCACTGTCATGATTACATATTGTAGTCTAACGTTACTTAATAAGTTTAGGAAAGTACCTGGCACATTCACATCTCGATACAGGCAAAACTTAAAGTATAAACTCGATATGCTGCTGAATTCAACTTCATTAACCCTGAAATACATAATATTGTTCAAATAGCATCATCCTGCAGACATGTTTGCAGTCAGCAGCCTATGTGAATGCAAAACCATTGATGGCCTCAAACAAAAGCGCATTCAAAACGCTTCAGTGACAACTGAAAAGTTGACGAATATGATACAGATAGACAACGAAATATAAACGAGTACAAGTTCATCAAAAACAACAAGAGCATCAAAGTAGAAACTCCCAACTCACCCCTCGGCACGACTCCGGTCCTCACTTTCTTCAGCAGAAACATTTTCTCTCCATAATGCTCTATAACCGGATAAACGAACTCACTTCAGAATTTACTTATCGGGTTTTGTCAGTATGCTGAAGTCAGAGGCGGGAAAATGATCCCAGCGCGAACATTCTGCGCTGACACATCATCGCTGTCCCGCGCGCTCCGTCACTATCACCGCATAGATCCTGAGTGTGTGTCTCTGTGTGTGCGTATGTGAGAGTGAGCAAACGCTGGTCGGTCGCGCGCCTCAGAGACACTGTAAGTTTAAAACAAAGTCTAAATCATGGTAGGGACGAATGCAAAGCATGGCCACGTACTGTTCGCACTGCTACAACAGACCTTATTTAAACATTGGATTATTTTATCACCGGCTCCTGTTTTAAACCAGTTTGAGATGTGCACGTCATTGTGCGTCAACGCGACTGAGACATGATGAATTATTGCACTCGCAAAGGATACTTGAGTTTCCAGTTGAACCCTTTTCGTTGTGACAATGGAGTTTTCCATCTGGAAAAGGACTTTGTGCCAAAATAGTCTGCATTTGTTATATCTAAAGTTGCCTCATGCGGTTGAGTTAAACGTAATAAAGCCCCATTCATAAATCTCCCAGGTAAGCGCATGTAGAATCCGTGTTTGCTGTGCACACAGTAGAAATCATTATGTCTATTTATGCGTTGCACGCAGAGTAAACACCTCGGGACAGCCCAATTAGTTTGATTCAGTATTTGCATACACGCTGTTCACCTGGCAGCACTATTATGGCGTCCAAAGCTTACAAACAGACGCAAACAAAGTGTGCATACTGTACTCATTAGGTCGCACATACCTAGGGAAATGCTAAAATAACTAGCAGTTTGCGCAAGTCCTGGTGGCATTTGAATGGAAAGTGAGACAGCTGGCATTGTGCACTCACACTCTCCATCACTGGATGCCAGGGGTCTAAACACATAAAACCCTCGAATGACTGCTGAAATATGCACCGCCACCCTTCCTGACTGCCTCATTTTCTTTGTACCTTCACAAATATACACATTCATTATTGTTTGCCCACACCATACCGACTTTCAATAGATTTAGTGTTCATTTGCGCATTTAAAAAACAGTGGAATAAAATTTTTACTCTAAAGTTTTTATATATTGTTTAATTGAAACTATTTAGGGCGAAGCAGTGGTGCAGTAGGTAGTGCTGTCGCCTCACAGCAAGAAGGTCGCTGGTTCGAGCCTCGGCTCAGTTGGCGTTTCTGTGTGGAGTTTGCATGTTCTTCCTGCGTTCGCGTGGGTTTCCTCCGGGTGCTCCAGTTTCCCCCACAGTCCAAAGACATGCGGTACAGGTGAATTGGGTAGGCTACATTGTCCGTAGTGTATGAATGTGTGTATGGATGTTTCCCAGAGATGGGTTGCGGCTGGAAGGGTATCCGCTGCGTAAAAACTTGCTGGATAAGTTGGCGGTTCATTCCACTGTGGCGACCCCGGATTAATAAAGGGACTAAGCCGACAAGAAAATGAAATGAATGAAACCATTTAAAATTGCATGCACCCTTGATTACTCATTTAGAATAGATAAGACTATTATGACTACTAAAAATAGTTATTAATAGTATAAATGAATGTATATTGAGTATGAATATATTTAAAACATTTAACATGTGACTCAGTGTCAATTCCCAGCAAGAATTTTTTTTGTTTTTTAAAGATGTCTGATAGATTTCTAATAGGTCTTTAAACATAGTCGTCTTGGCTTAAACAAGGCTAAATTTGAGTTGTCAGTGAAAATCTAATAGATGTCTATAGGCCAAAACTAGACTATTCAGCAAATAAACCGGAAGGACTACACATATAAAGTCTGTTTAATCTGTCTACTTGACGACTAGTCTAGTTTCGGGCTATTCTTACTGTAGATTTTCACTGACACCCCGAGCCTTGTTTTAGCCAAGCTGTTTACGTTTAGACGTATAGGCATCTTTAAAACACAAAATTGTTTGCTGGGATTTGTCACAAATCCTGGCCACATCAGATAGTAAAGTGTCCATCATATGCAGTACAGTATGTCACCTAAACACTTTTTCACTGGGTTTCAATTTTTAAGGGCTCATCCCTATGCCCTAATTCCTTCGAAGGGTTTACCCTCTGGAGTGCAAGCTTCGAAGGGATTAGGGAATAGGAATGAGACCTTTCGAACTAAATGCAGTGTGCGATACCAAACTATTTCCCTGTGTAAAGAATTAATGGGGACTGAATCATTTGTATCCTTTAAAATTCCGAAGGGTCCTTCAAAGTGTCTAGTTTTTAGCACCTCCAGACTTCATTATAGCTGCCATGATTGTTTTCATTCCGAAGTTCCCTTCAGAGGGTGATATATCCTGCTTGAAATGCACTGAACACCTACACTTTTACAAACACTGTGAATATATGGCAGATTATTAATTGTTAATTTATTTATTTGCCTAGCAAATCAAAAGAATATATTATTTGCTTATGTACAAAACATGATGTCATTCAATTATAATAATGGTAATATTTTTTTATTAAGCTATAATGTTTAAGATAATGCTGACTGAGATGTTCTATACTGATACATTGAAGAGAGGGGATTAATCCAAACTATTGTCTTAACTAGATCCAAAGTTTAAAGGACATTCTGTAATATATAGTTGAAGTCAGAAATGTGTTGAATTAATCTCTCTGTTTAACAGAAATTGGGGAAAAATAATTTAGGGGGCTAATAATTTTGACTTTAACAAGAAAGAGAGTGTAATTTTGAGTACACCTATCTGTTTTCTCACGTCTGTCATTTTTCATGTGCGTTTATTTTGTTATTGAGAGAAAAGGTCAGAATATATTCATCTAAAAACATCTAAACGTCACAGAGCAGTCTGGGTGATGTCAGGATGTTTATTTGCAATATATAGCAAAGTATTTCTGATTTATTTTTACTAAGCGGTGTGGGAATTTTACATTGATGATCGGGGGGTCAACTTTTCTCAGTAGTTGTTTAGTAATGCTTCAGCGAATCAAATTTATGAATGTATTTAAATTACATCTAATTTATTAATAAAATGTATATGTTTTCAGTGTTTTGAGGGATATTTAGTGACTATTTTAGAGGTTACTGTATGTTAAACTACAAATTGTGTCTAATTTTTCTTTTTCTTTAGGCTACATGCAGATATAAACACCTATTTTAACAAGAAACATGTTTTGAAAATACTTTAGATGGCTATCGAAGCTGTAAAACTGCCAGTTTAATTTTTTATGGCATTGATTGGTGCATTATGCATTCACAATGGTATGAACCGTTATAGGGGGTTATATATATATTTATATTCATTCATTCATTTTCATTTTGGCTTAGTCCCTTTATTAATCTAGGGGGCGACACAGCGGAATGGACCGCCTATTTAAATTATACATTTTTAATTATTAATATTTAATATATAAATCTGAGATCAGAGAGCCCCCCCCCCTCTCCTTCAGGGGGGATCAAGCGTTAATTAAGGGGGGGTCAATTCCCCTCAAACCCCCCTGTAATTTGTACCCTGCTACTAAGCGAAGCACAGAAAATAAGCCTTGAGTATATCCTGCCATTGACTCTAGTATGTTAGTTGTGAAAAAATGCAAACAGCAATACACTTCCACTGCAGTTCACCAAATGACCACTAGTGTCACTGACAATAACAAGGCTTTCTGATTTCCACATATTGTTTCTTTAAAGTGATGTGTGCTCAACTAATGCTTAGAGAAGCAGTTATTTTCATCACCGATGTTATTGATTTTATTGATTAGCTGTTTCAACCCTTCTCTGACGTCTGATTTCAGGGTCATTACTTGATCTCACAAGTCTAATGAGCAGGTTATATCACACCTAATTGGATCGCCCTTGAAAAATATCCCAGATTGCCTCCTCTTTGCGATTTCTACAGATCAAGGACAGAAGTGATGACTCTAACATTTAGGAGAGAAAGCGACTGTTTGAGAGCGGGGGGAAAAGCACGGGAATCAGTCGAAGGATTAAAGTGTAATCCCCAGCGACAGAGAGATGGGGTCAGGCTGATGAGAGAATCGGGTTTGGGGATGGGACGGGGAGCAGCTCTGGCAGCTGATGGGCAGCTGTGTGTCCCACTGACACCCGTTTGATCCAGCCTGTGCTCTGATCAACGTGATTGCTCCTCAAGCAGATGTGTGAATAACTAGATTACTGCCAACCGGTGGCCTGCCAGAGTGCTGCGAGACTTTCTCAATCCCAATAATAGGTGTTTGATTAATTCCCTCCCCTGCCAATTGACTCACTACAATCAAAGACGTGACTTTTTCACAGGGCGAAAAGCATCATGACTTGATAAAACAGCACAGACTGGTTTGCACATTACCATAATCTGTTTTGTCTACCGGATGGCAATCCTAGTCCTGGATGATTTACATAACATTCAAATTTGTAATCAAATCCCGAAGGCAGCCAAGGGAAGCAGGTTTTCCTGGGGAGGAAGCAGATGTCAGTCATTTGGAATTTGGGCTAGTAGTAAAACCTGTATAACTGGAGTTTTTGGAAAAAGGAGATAAGCAGGCTCAGGCCTTCCATGGTGTTCCATATTAAACATTAATGCTGACGGATGGGATGCATGGACCTATCCCTTTATACAGACATCAAACCTCCCTTTGAGCTTAAATTGGAATTTGAGAACAGCCAGGAACGTACAGTAGAACTCACTCGCATTCACACCACCTCTCTCTCTCTCTCTCTCTGTGTGTCTGTCTAGTGTGCATGTGTGTGAGCTGCAGACCGGATATCCCCATATTGGAGGGCCAAAAATAACATGGTCTTCATCATCTGCACAGGGTGAAGCACATCTGAGCCATTCCTGTACGAAAAGTGCCGCATCAGCATTTTGAACACTCCTCACGTTCTGTTGAATAAAGCCATCCGCTTATCAATCAACTCCTGCGTGCAACTCAAAGTAGTGTGCACTTCTTGTCAACAACGGCAAGTGATGAATGTGACAAGGGTGCATGACATTGGTGTAGCTGCAGTCAGAAGTGAAACTAACAAGGGAGCGTCCGT